AGTGCTGTCAGGAGCTTGCACTGCATGGACATGTTCAAGGTCTCACAGGCATCCTTAGACAGCCTGGATTCCTGGATGCTAAAACCTCTAGTCCAGAATAGGTCCAGGGACAGAAAAATGCTCCATCAAAATCTGAACTCATGACTGACCTGCAGCCTTCCTGGTACAGATGTTCCCTCTATTTACCCACAAGCAGCATCATAATGAGTGAAAGTGTTGACTAGAAACCCAGGAATTTCAGAATTTATGTCTTAGTTTCTTTCTTTAGGAATGTGCTTAATCTCTCTTCACTTTATGTTTTAGGAAATGTGCCAAGATGTTGTAGTAGCAAGGGAGAAGAGATGGATCTCTAAGGGGCGGGCAGGGCTTTTAGTTTCAAGTAGGAGGCTTTGCATCCTTCATCATATCTTCCCAGTAAGCTTTGAGAAATATTCATCTTTAATCAGGAGAAACATTTTGAATGTTTTCATTTATTACAGATGAGTGTTTTGAAAGAAAAAGGAAATGTTATTTCACATTCCCATGTTAATTTTTCAATGAAAAGAGCCAATCAAGTTGTCCATCACCCAACCTTCCTAAATTCTAGACATTAAAATTAATGTCAATTAAACATTGGTTAATAATTTTAATCACAGGCCTATTTTTTTGGATCACATTTATGACATGTTTTTAATTTTTCTTCATGGACTCTGTTGTGCTTCTGGGACTTCTGGCATTGTTAATTTAACCACATTTCACAAGACTTGGGAGAAGGTTATGATGAAAGAAGTTAGTGTTTGTTGCTGAGCTTTTCTAACAAAGTGCTTGTCTTTCCTCTGTGTCTGATGCCAAATCAGTGACCAGGAAAACTGCCCCCTATTTTCACACTTGCTCTTCGGCATATGAGATCTCCATGGGGATGCATTTGATTATGTGATTTGCAGATATCACTTAGCGGGCAGAGGGAACCGTAGGCATGCTAATGTCCTCTTACTGAGTGACCTGTGTGACATTTGACTAATTTTCATGGGTGGAAGGGTAAGAATGAGGTTCTGTATCTTTGGTAAAGCTCTATACAAATTTACACTGAAACTACAATTTAGATTCAGCAAAAGCATTTTTCAACCAGTGGCTTTCCAGGGTTAAGGAAAAGAGACAAAGGACTTGAGGATGATTTATATCACTAAAAATTTCTTCCAGATCGTTTATATTTTTATCAAGAAAAAAAAATGGAGCACTTTCAAAACAGTTATCAGATAAGTAGCAAAATTCCCATGTAGAATTGGTATTTCTACCAGGAAGGACAACAGGTATTATTGGCATCATTCCATTTGCTCAGTTTAAGCAGAGTCACTACATGATTAACTCAGAGTAATTAGGGAGGGGCTGGTCTGAGCTGAATAGAGAGTCAGTTGCAGAGCACCTTCTTGTAAGTAAAAGATGCGCTATGTGCATTCTGGCCTGGCAGAAGCCCTGCTGTCCTGCCAGGTGGGGATCGGCACTGGTGCCAGAGCCTAGCCAGTGCACTGTATAAATTATTTTAATAATCCTCAGGAATTGCTGTGTGTGCTACAGAATAGCTTAACAAAGTTTTCCTATAACTGCCAGACCCTTTGAACTGTGCATCAGGAATTGGGCTTTCACATTTGTATAGCTCAGATTAATAATACTTTGGTGCATAGTCATGTAATAAATAATAATAGATGGTTTTTTAATTGGATAGTATAATAATGGATGACAGTAAATTCAAGGAATTAAAAAATAAAACACATAATAAGAATGCCAAAAAGAGGAAGGGGAAGTGGGAGGGGTAGGGGTAAGGAAAGAAGGGAATGGAATTAATATGAGAAAATGGAAAAATGGAAACAAAATCTTTGTAAATAGGAATGGAAGGGTTGAAGGGAGGGCTGGGCAAGGGTGAAAAATAAGAACCAAGAGAGACTATGTAAAGGTGCAAATTTCCAATGATGAATGTCATTATATTGTATGCCTAAAATGTACCAATGATTAGAATGAATAATCGATAATGCAAAATAGGTAGAAAAGGTCCAAAGGGGTAGGGGTAGTGGTAGGGGCAGGGGAAAGGAAAGAAGGGAAAGGAAAAATGCTGAGAAATGGAAAAAAATGGAAATAAAGTCTTTGTAAATAGGGAAGGGTGGAGGGGGTGAAGGGAGGGCTAGGAATGGGGAAAAAATAAGAACCAACATGCATCATGTAAAGGTACAAGTTCCTAATGAGAAATGTAAATGTGTTTTATACCTAAAATGTACCAATAAAAGAATTTAAGCAGTAAAAAAAAGAATGCCAAGATTCATCCTTAAAGTCTTGTTAATCTTCTTTTGAAGAAGTTGTCTTCTTTAACATCCAGAAGAATAAACTTGTAGATATTCAGTGGCCCTGAAAATAATCTCACAACACCAAGGCCAACCCCGAACCCATTGGCTATACACATTAAGACTGTTTCTGTTACCGTCCCCCATTGCGTGCAGTGTAATTAAAACCCTTTTACAATTGAATTCCTAACAAAATCAATAGCACATTGCAGGGCTTCGAGGCTGCTTCAGGATTCAGTTACAGCAAGCCTAAGTCAAGTGAGGATCAGGAATTATCGGTAAATGTGGGTGAGCCCCCGAAAATGGGCAATTACCATTGTATGTCACACAGGGCTACATAAAAGGAAAGCAGAGAGGCATTTTAAATGGCCTCGACTGCCATTCATGTGTCACCTAAATTTACATGCTGTAGCCTGATGTATATTCATGTCTGCAAATCACAGTCAAAAGAAAACTAATGATATCAACTTCTGTTGACATTAAACAGTGGGAAATTCTGTAAAGGATTTCAGACCCATCTCTGTACTTCGTTTTTGCTTTGTAGAATCTATGTACAAGGTGTTTTCCTTCAATTTACTGTATTTTATGATCCCCCTAGCTTTGAGGAAAAGAAGGAAGTCAGTGGAATAGGTATTTTTTCTTTCTTACAGACCAAAAGACAGGTTTGAATGTTTTCTTCTTTCCTAAAATAATTTCCTTAAATATAATTTTTAAAATTTGAACTCTCCACTGGTGATTATTTTTGCTCTTCTGAAGCCTCCCCCTTCAGGTTTCATCCTGTTCCTTCAGGTTCTGTGGTGTCCCTGGACTGTCAATCCCAGCTCATGATTATTTGTCTCCCGTTTAGCCACAAGGTGCAGATTTGCTAGCTGAAAGGCGTTCTCTGACAGTTACTCCGGATGTATGTCCAAAGGCTTAGCCGGCTGCACTGGAAAATTTCCCTAGAGGATTATTCTGTAGAATGTGCGGTCATTCATTGAGCTGTCTGATGTGGAAGGAGTGAAAATGAAAGGACCTACCACGGAGAAGCAGGCCCGTAAGGCCCTTTCAGGGCAAAGAAAACCAAAGGACATTTTCTAGTCCACTCCAGTTTTGAAGCATATTCTGGGAAGTAGGGTATCAAGGGATATTTTCTTATTGGTATTTTTTTGAGAAGTCATTGAGAGAGCCCTAAATCAGGAGCTGAAGGCAAACTGAGTGATGCCCACGGGCGTGCTCAGAAATGACCACCAACCCAGAGTCCTCCATCTGCCCAACACTCACAGGTTTTTCAGAAGTCTATAACAGTATTTGGAACTAGAAGGGAAAATGTATTGTAATGATTCCAAAGTTTAAAAAAATACAATTCTACAAAAATCAATATTATTAGTTTAATTGAATAACTGCAAAATATTTAATATCAGCCTCAGTAAGTATTAGATTTACCCTTTGTAAAAATTCTGTTACATGTGAAAACAAATTGTGGATTCAGTTTTCTCACTTTCCAAGGTTTTGAGGAAGTTATTTGTAAATTAAAGCCAGTGATTTAAAATTCAAAATTATAAGAAACCTGTCCATTTTTTACACAGGAATGTATATTTTGTGTGGGATGTGGGCGTGTTCTTAACATTCTTTATATGACATGTGTGGTAGGACCTAAAAAAAGAGCCTGCAGCTCTTGAAGGTTTTAAAACAGCTCTGCACCTGTCACTGCTCTTCCAGGTATATGATCATTCCTGCAGGTGCACATCTGTTCAGCCAAGAGCAGAGAGGACAGAGTACAAGACAGGGAGAGAGTGTCTGGCTTGTTCCTCTGGAAGGACCCTGAGAGTAGGTAAAATATAAGAGCAGTCATTTCATCCAACAGGAGGAAATGCACAAGGCCTTCTGCATTGCTGGAGAGATCACCGGATGGTGCCTGGGTTCTCTTTGAGTTGGGAAGCAAAGCCATCACGTTGGATCACATCGGTAGAATTCCAGTGTCCCCTTATCTTAGTTGTGTTCTCTCTGAGCAGATAACCAGATCCTCATGTGCTCTCGTGTTCTAACAAACCTTTCCAAGTTAGACAGAGATTTCCATTTTTTTAGAACAGAAAATTCAGCGTGGCAGGGACAGGAGAAAAGGAAGATTCCCTGGATTTCACGTGTGATCATCCTGGTCTTTAACTTGGTGGCCTGACTTGTTCAGTTTTTATTCTGTTCATTATACATGGGGAGATGAATACTGATTCCCTCCAATGCATGGAGAGCAATACTTCCATACAATCACATCCTCCCAACAATAAGCACTAATACACTAATTCCTGCAGAATTCTTTCTTTGCATATACTAAAGTATTATTGATTTATTTTTATGAGGTGTGATGATGCTTTTAAAATATTTTTCAGTTACCAATGTATCTTAGATGTTTTTTATTTCAGTACATATGAATTACCTCTTTCACATTGATGACCACCTGGTGTCCCACTGCATAGCTGGGCCATAATTGATTTCATTGACCCTTTAGCTTTGACCTTTCAAGAGAATGGATCATGTGCCAAAATAGACCATTGTATACTGGCTAGAAATATGTTTTGGCTTAACTTATCCCAGGAGCAGAAAGGACCAAATCTTTCTCTTTACTGATGTTAGTTATTAAATGTAAACCCTATATGTTTTTGTCATTTATTTATTTGTTTGTTTTTGTTTTTGCCTTTTCCTCTTATGCAGTCATCTACAGCCAGGGACAAGGATGAACCAGCTCTCCCGGTAGGAAGCAGTGGCCCTGTTGCCTGCTCCTGTGCCTGTGGGAAGGGTGGGGCGGGTGGGAGGTGGGGACCTGTGCCGGGCAGATGGTCTTCTCCCTTGGAATACATATCTGGGTCAGTCCACTGGGCTGCATGTATACTCTGTCCTACAATTAGTTACGCTGAATTCGGACGTTCACTGACATGTTATTTTTGGTCCTAAGTTTCAAAAGTTTGAATTCTCTCTTCCATTGGGTATAAACTATTATAGGAGTTGAAAGAGTGAGAAATTTCCATATTACATTCCAAGGGATGTTGAGTTGATACTTGGGGAGAGTGTGGAATCTAATGCTTGACAATTGTTTTCTTTGTTTATCTGCGTGCACACACCTTTTGATTGAAAATTTCTTTTGTACTCATCAAAAGAAATGTTGCATGAGGCCTGTATATTCAATGTATGCATAATGCCTGAGAGAATGCTTTAAGTTCTCCTATAGAAAGAATCTGATTTGATGAAGATACCCACAGCAGAGTTCTTCCACTTTCCCAGAATAAGGACCGTGGTAACAGTGGCTATGATGAGTTATTAACTACAAACACATCTCTGCTTCCTGTTCAGTCAACACATCACATTTCAGATTGTGCAACCTGGCAAGGAAATTAACTAAATTTTGTGTTCAACCATCAGTGATTACATTTCAGCTCTATTCAGACTTCCTAACCTTGCTTCTAAAATATTTGAACTTTAATCACTTGAATCCACTGTGACTAAATAGCACAATGCATTTTAAAATATTACAGGCTTTTAATGCTAAAAGAACTAGTAGTAATGAAGATACTTACAACCTGGTCCTTGTCCTTCCTCCTGTAATGCTCAGAGCAAAGAAATAGATGCTCATTGAGAGCTCATAGGCTATGCCAAATACAGTACCAGGCAAGAACCTCCATCTCTTCCCTTGAAGGGCTCATGATCTCCTTCACCTCTGAAGCACCAGTACTCCCCTCTGATTCTTCTTTGAACCCTGTTGAGTTGGGAATATAATTTTTAGTAAACCATCAATTAATAAAATCACATGAAGAAAGTCAGATTTTTCCATATATCTCATACTGAAATTTACTCGTCTTTCAAGCTAACCATGGGTTTCATGTTTGCCACCAAATGTTTGGACCATGATTGTTAATAAATATTTTCTAAAATAAGGAATGCATGGTCAACAGTTTGAAGACACTGCCCAAGTGAATCAGCCTAATCAGATTTCTTCAGTGTAGATGTAGTGGTCTAATAAGGATGAGTTCCAGGGAAAGAGCACTTTCCAGATACAGAGTCTCTAATGGGATCTTTGATGGGAAGCCCCTGTGGTTTAAAGTATAATAGAATATTTGGGGGAATCCAGGAATGTAGATGGTTGGAAGATGTAGTGGAAAATAGTATTTTATTTTTATCTGATATTTCACATTAAGCTTTTGAACCAAATTTCAATAGAAAGCTTGGCTCCCTCTAAGCATCTTGCCCTGTGACAAGCAGCATAGAATTGGCAAAGGGAAAAAAGCAGTTTCTATTTAGGATGAAAATCTGTCAAAATATGCTGGGTTTGGGATGGAGCTTTTTTAAGACTGTTTGCTTTTGAAGATAAAAGAGTCTTGGGGTAACTTCATCTTCAGGTGCACATTGGTCCTCTCTCACATCTCAGTTCCATTTGTTTGTGCCAAGGGGCCCACCATGAAGCCAGGTGGGTGCTCCATGGGCTCGTGATAGGAAGCTGCATTTCTCAGACGTCACTCAGTCAGACCACAGTGCTTCCAGGTGGGCTTGTAGCCCCAGGGTGGAGAGCAGACTCCACCAGAGATGAGCAAGATGATCCTTTAGAACACAAGAGGAAATATTAGTGCCTCTGGTGTCTATTTTCTGTACTCTTTAAAAAGTGTTTTAGATGCTTGTATTTTAGCGTGTATGTCTACACACATATGGATATTGATGTAGATAGAAATATATACTCAAAGATTGCACTAAGAAGATGTGTAACTCAAAATGCTTAGAGAATACCCACTAGGTCAGCAAGCCTCCTTGAGGAAAGCAGATCTGAGATCCACGCCTGTGTTACACACTTTTTGTCTGTGTGACATGGATACCTCACTTCACTTCTCTGAAGCGAGGTTTCCTCATCCATCTAAAGTAACTACTAAGAATCAGATAGGAATGATGTGAAGCATGTAGTGCATTGCCTGGCATTTACTAAGTTCTAACAAATTGGAAGCAGTGATTTGTTGGTAGGAAAAGATGTGAGCCATTTCCTCTGGAGGTTTGAATGTGCTATGAAAATCTGTGGTCTGGGAGTGCACGGCCGTGTGTCAGAGTGGGTGACCAGCAGACGAGGTGAGCGTCTGATCTCAAATGCACTTGCCACTCACTGCTGAAAGTAATGACCTCTTTGTTTCTCCACTCAGGCCAAGCCGCGCCTCCAGCGAGGCGGAAGTTCTGCCTCCCTCCACAACAGTCTCATGAGGAACAGCATCTTCCAGCTTATGATCCACACGCTGGACCCCCTGGCTGAAGGTAAAAGTCAGGCCTTGGTTGGGAGCTTGTTGGAGGAGAGAGTGACGCAGGCTTTGCTGTTGTCACACGAGCCTGCTGGCCTCCTCTTGGTTAGCATCTGCAAGAGGAGGCCCTGAGCCTTTGTCACGCTTTATATGTTGCAGTTCAGTTCGTGATGGGCGGTTCAGTGCCATGAGTAGGACATGAGGCCCATGTGCTGATTCTGTCTTTTGATGCCTGTGGCACAAATAGAGTTTATTATGAGGCAGAGGGCAGAAAGGTTCCCTCCCATGCAACTAGAGTAGCAGTTTTCCTTTATCATCCTTTCTAACTTTCAAAATAAAGTTGTGTGTGAAGATAAATTGTGCACCTCAAAAAGACAAAAAAGAGCCTGTGGTTGAGGATGCCATGAGTAGCTTAGGGAATGATGTTCACAGCAGAACACTGACATTGTGCTGATCCTTTGTCATTTGGGGAGGAGGAGAGGTGAGCATCTAAACATCCAGTAGCCCTGAGACCATTGCTTAACATCAGTCACTGGAGACCCGGAAGGCGTGGTTCACCTCCTGGGCTAATAAGAATCATCACTCCAGCCTTACCGCCTTTCAGTTTACTTGGTCACAAGGAAACCAAATATGTCATGTTTCTTCAAATGCATAAGAATCCTAAAAATTAATTTTTCCAGTAGTTAGACATCTGATATTTCAAATAAATATCAGAGCCTTGCCACTAGCACAGTGTTCGGAAATAACCAAGTCTGTCTCCCTTCACTCCTGGACTGTATAATTGGGCCTGATAGTATATGGAAGCTAGCAGGGATCATGGGAAGAGAAACAGGGATGTGCTACTGAACAACACATAGGCTCTGATTGTCAACCATACCATATGCCTCAGAGTTCGTACAATACCCAGTTTGGATAATTTCAAGGGTACAGGCAATCAAGAGATTCATACAACATAAAGAAAAATCTGGGACCCCCAAGAGCAGCTCCCCAGGTCCTATCTGCCCACATTGGACACACTGGTCACCCAGAACAATAGATGAGGATCACAGGGTCACCTCCCATTGCACAGCATAGAGCATTTTGGTTCTGAAGCATCCCCTTGTTACAACCCAGAGCTGCATAGCTGATGTGGCATTCTGCAAGGACTCAGGTTCTATTTACTAGAGGTAATCCTAGCCAGGGACATCCTAAATGCTGTTACACTACTTACCCAGAGATTCATTTGACAAGGGGATTAGACCTGCTCCCCAGAGAAAGGAGTGAAGGAATCTCAGGCCAACTTCTGTCACTCTCTCCTCCTGGCTGCTGAAAAGTCATGTGACTTTGGAAAAGTTAGGGTTTCTCTGGAACCTAGTTTGTTCATAAATAATAATATACTTTTCTTTGTTAGGTATTCTACAATTGACAAAGCATTTGCACACCTATAAGCTTATATTTCACAGTAGTAGTTCATAGCTAACATTTTTCTGCTTTCTTAAAATATCAAGCCACCAACCCAGATCTCAGACATGTCCACTTCTCTCACTGTGCCAGGGCTTCCTCCCAAGCAGCCATCACCACTTCATGCCGAGCTTCATCACTGGTCTCCCATTTCTCCTACTGCTCTGCTGCCTATGCATGTTTTCCACACTGTAGACCAAGTAATCTTCACAGAGTGAATCAGGCTGTGTCGCTCCTGCTTATAGCCTGAGTGCTTACCAGGACTCAGGAAAATTGGGTTGTCCTCACCATGGCCTCCCTGATTTGTTCTTGTTCCAGACTCACTTAAGCCACCTAGGCCTCTCTGTCTTCAGATAGACACCTCTTCTCAGCCTCAGCATCTTTGCTGTAGCTGTTTCCTTTTCCTTCCCTTTCCCCCTTCCATTTCTCCCAGCTCCATTCCTTGCCTTTCTTCAGCACAGTATCTAAGGAAACTTCCTAATGAACCAGTATAAATCAGGGTCCCAACCTCACCTCTCAGTATACCTTTTAGTTATGATTAGTGAGGCTGTCTGTTGTCTTTCTGCCAGGAAACGGTACGTGTCTTGAGAGAAGTTTCCCCAAAGCTTAGCAGATCACTTGGTGCACAGTAGCTGCTAAGGCTCAAAAATATTAACCAACTTGGCCAGAGTCACTGTAATGAGCTGATTCTCACATGATCCCAAACCCCCAAACCTGCACAGATTTAAGATTGCAAGTGAGCTGTACCTTGGTTATTTTGAGCCACCACATTCTCTACCCTATTGTCCTTGAAAATTGTGTAAGAAAATAGGCCAATTTTATCTGGTCTAGCTCAGTTATGAGCAAGTAACTGAGTATGTTCACTTTGACAAAGTGGTATCATGTAGTCATTAAGAGAGAAGACTTCAGATCCAGAATCTCTGGGTCCAGATCCCACTTCTACACTGATAGCTGTGTGACCTTGAACAATTTACTTAACCTGTCTTATATCTCAGTTTTCTCATCTATAAAATCAAAATGATATACAATGATATCTGCACTGTAGGGTTTTTATAAAAATTATAGTAAATACACATGCGGTATTTAACACACTGCCTAGCACATCACATGTATAGGTGTAAAAGAGTCTGCTTTATTATTTTTGAAATGTAATACAATATACAATATGTAGGGGTTTTTAGACTTTTAAATATTTTTTTTTAATGGTCAGCTTTCCCATTGCTGGGACAAAATACCCAACATCTGCAATTTAAAGGATGAGAAGTTTATTTTGACTCACAGTTTCAGAGGTTTCAGTCCATGGTAGTAGACTTCAAGCCAGAAACATCATAGTGGAAAGGAATGGTGAAGCAAAGCCACTTACATTGTGGTGGCCAGGAAGCAGGGCACAGGCAAGAGCATAAGGAAGAAGGGGCCAGGGAAGAGTCCCCAGATCATACCCTGGTGGCCCACTCAGATGTACCTGGCAGTGTGCTTTATTAATGTCTTGCCCCTCAGGTTGCCAGTCATGATTAACCATCATGAAAGATTATAGTGAAAAAGTGTCTTCCTCCTCCATCAACTTCCCAGTTTTCTTCAGTTCCTCAGTTGTCTCCATAAAAAACCACTATTGCCAAAATTTTATTGGTCCTGCCAGAAATGTTATGTCATACAGTCTCTGTGAGTGTGTGTATGTGTGTGTGTGTGCGCGTGCGTGCGTGAGTGCCTGCCCACAGGTCTCAGCAGTCTAAATATCTATGTTTTGTTTGGAAGAATCCCATTTCTGATAGGGCTTTTTTTTGTTTTTATTTCTGCTTGAGGGGAGGTTACGCTTTGTGTCTGTGAGATAAGGGAAAGTAAATGTAAGTTGTTCCTGAGGTGGGCCATCAGTGATTTTCCAAAACATCCAGTCCTTATGGAACTGTGCTGCAATTAAACTGTTGTTCCTGCTGGAGCAAGATGTGCCTTCTGAATCCTGGCACCTGCTTTCAAGGTGAAACCTTTCCCAGAAAGATGTGGAGAGCTCCAGGAGTGTGAATCTGAGAGCCATAATCAGTTCTAGACTTGAGTGATTAGAAAAAGCAGAAAGCGCTTCAGCACTCTAAAATTGCTCCATAGCACATGGCCGAGAACACAGATTGTTCTGGTATTTTTCCCAAAAAATTCACAGTTCTTTTCATTCCAAGAACAGTCAAAAAAATTAACCCACAGCTCTCAGAAATAGTCATCAGTCTTTTAGTTTGTGTCTAATCACATGAATGCACATGTCCTAGTGCCAAACTGCCACCTTTGAAGGATATACACTGTGATGGTCACATCCCCACGCTGACCCCACAAACACTGCAGCAGCCTCCCTGTTGCACCAAAGGAGAGGTCACTGATGTTCCTGAAATTCACCTAGCTGAGAGCATTGACACCTCTGGTGTGCAGTCAGTATTCCTAGAGGAAAATATTCGACCTCATTTGAAAACATCATCTAGGACAGGTGGCTGCTGGAAATACATTTCCTTTTGTCTCATCTGTGCCACTCAGGTCTTTTGTCTTCAAAAACCCAGCAGTTGAGTCCTGGCTAAAAGACGTCATTGGCAGATGGTTTGGCCTCCGAGCTTGAGTCATAGAATCCAGCAGCATTTGTGCTTTGGTTATCTATTGACTTGGTGCTTTAAACAACCATGACATTATTATTCATGTGTTTGAGGATCAGGAATTTGAACAGGGATCTGCTGGGTGATTCTTCTGCTCCTCTCAGTACTGATGGAGGTCACTGGGAGGCATCCAGCTAGTGGACAGGTAGGTAGGGGGTCCCAAGCGGGCCTCACACACATGCCTCGCACTTTCAAAGGCACAGCTGGTGGGCTTGGCCAAGCTGCATCCCTCTGGCTCTCCATGCTGCCTCAAGGCCTCTGCACATGGCCAGACTTCTTACTTGGTGGCCAGAAGTTCCAACCGCAAACCTTCCTGGAGGCCCAGCCAGAAGCTACAAGGCTCAGATGACCTAGGCTGGTCAGTGGCAGGGCGCTCAGTCCATCAGTGAGTAATCTTGAAGACCCACCCAGGCTCAGGGGTGGAGATGAGCCTCCCTCCACCTGTCTCAGAAGAGTGCCAAAGGGAAACACCTTTCTTCTAACCACACCTGTCTCTGAGGTGCATATTGCTGGCTCCTCTGCCCATTGCTTGGCTATGCCCCAGGCAGAGCACACTGTGTGGAAGGAGCAGCTGTTGCCAGGCTGCCAAGCCCAGCGCCTTCTCAGGGACACAATATTCTGAACAGGCCTTGGCTCTGAAAAGAAGAAATACACCTAATACCCTCAAGAATGATTGGAATAAAGACTTTCATTTATAAGAAAGCCCCTGGGAACCAGAATTGTCAATGTCAATTTGAGATTACATAAGGGCTATCTAAATTGGTCTTTCTAGTAAATTCACTGTTCTGTATTGATTTTAACATTTTCTCCAAAAAAACCTTCATATTACATAGGTGTACATTTTTATGAACCTAAAACAAAGATACGGGCTGGAGCACTTTCAGAGTGAGGAGTAGCCTTGCCTGTCAACCTGTGTAATGGTGAAATACCGACTCACATTTCCAGGATGCCC